TAATAAAAGTCTAGAGTCCCTTGAGGGGGTCCAGCCCCACAAGGGCTGTGGGCTTTCCTGAAGGAGAGACGGATAGGCGAAAGACGAAAATATTATACTCAGATACCTGCTTCCTGAACAGATGACGTTTAATGTTAGTTAAGGGAAAGCTTTTATACCATTTGTAAAGGGGCAAGACAAAGAAAATTCCTTCACGTACATATGCTTTAAAAGTTACCATCTAGTGGTCTTGGCAACAAACAAACCAAGATCCCTATAAACATTCAGACAACAAGTCTTATTCATAAAGCCAAAGATGATACTTTTAGTCCAAGGTCCCGAATTACAGTCCTTGAAATGTTTCAAGAAAGTTTCTAAGTGTACATTTCTTCATGTGTGAGGAGTTTTCCCAACTTAGGCTTCTATGGCCTTCAGAGCCTTGTAATTGCTTCTCTTGTTCAGGTGTCTTCATTACTTTTCTCTTATTCTGCAGTGCTTGTTTCTAAAGAGAACTCAAAAGAAGCTTTTAGTAATGTTTCTCAGGCCCCCAATGTTGCTTTCTGTCTTTAGTTAATCTATCATAAAAGTGTCTGATTATTATATTATGAGTTCAGTGAAAACCCACTCTATAAATGTTAACTTAGAGTTTTAACTATTGAATTACGTAAAAACCTTAACGCTTAATCTTTATCCTAAGTCAGTGAAAACAGTGTTATAAATCACCTACATAACTCCTAGATAAGTGTTAGAACTTATAATGAATTCATAATGAACTTACTATAAACTTGTGCTTCTAAAAAATCTTATGTCTAAACACTAAACTGTATAATTCTAAATCAAATAAGGAGTGAATATACTTATATCATATATTACTCAAGCAATATCTAATAACTTATAACCAAGTGAAAGAAAGCATTCTTGATGTGCTTCAGAGTTTAACCCTTGCATATATTAGAAAAGGCCAAGCGGCATACTGGGAAAATGGAAAAATAAACCATGGCATTCTCAAGTTAGCTGTGAATACTTTGCATAAACATGCCATTTTCTTCTTCCACAACTGCACAGAATTTCTTCAGCCGTACCAACAGCAAAGATGGAAGATAGAAGGGCCTCAGCTGCCTTGACTCGCTTTGCGGCTGGGGGTCCTCAGCGCACCTGGACTTTGTCAATCAGGTGGGCCTCCAAGGCTGGCTCCCAACATTCCCTCTCTTCAGAAACCAGAAAACTGGACAACCCTATATTTACTCCACCATTTCTCTTCTTATGCACCAAGAAAAGCAGCCTTGCATGAACATCCATACTGCATGAGTAGCATAAAATATTGGTGACCAAAGAAGACCATTTCTGAGTCTACAGGTTGATCATGAATGCCACATTTCCAAACAATAGGGCTACAGGGCCTCTATTACCATTTTCTTGACTATGCAGCAATGGCCCTGAGGCAAACAGCAAAGAGACTACAAGGAATTCACAAAACTTTAGCTAATTACCTCACCTATAGAAAATATAGGTACAGAAGTTCTGAGAATTTGTACATACTCATCCTGCAAAGCCATAGTCATTGGAACATCTGTGGATACACTTTTAGGAGAGGATTATTTCTTCTAGTTTGCAGCAGCCTCCTCCACTCTATTAATGCAGATTATCTGTATCTATTACAGTTCCACCTAAATCCTGCAGTCTTAGAAATAACCAACTGAATTCTAGACATAGGGACATATGACTCTGTTGCAGGACCTGAGAAAACTGCATCTGTTCAATGATGCTGGACATTATGTGTCAAAGGAACCAATTCATGCTTCATCCCACTGCAGGGTTGTCAGAACTGTACCCTTTTCTGAGTGATCTTTGGCTACATCCAAAAAACTGTGGTATTAAGGCCACAAATTTGCACCACAAATCCCTGCAGTATCTCCAAGGCCTTGTGCAATTTGAACTTTTTCTGACACCACATGCATGGCTACACCACCAGTTCAATTAACCAACACTAACTGGGTACCCTACAATTCAATTCTGACACTACCTACCTTGAGTTAGTGTAGAGCCCTTGTAGGTCACCTGACTAACATCCAATTGTGCTGCATCAACACCCTTTGTTTCAACCTCATTGACACTGTATTCATCCCATTTCCCAGTAACCATCTAAAAGACTTCTACCCTGCTGGGACAAGTCCCTCTACTCATTATTTTTAATTACTTTGATGTTCCTGGTAGCTGTAAGACTCATACAGGGAACCTGAGACAACAAATCTAAAAGGACTTCTTGGACTGGTCAATTTTGTAGCAGTAGTTACATGAAGCAGTAGAGTTACTTGGGTTACCCATGCAAGAGGGGCCTCTTTAATACAGCATTTACCATAATTTGAGTAACATATTCAGTGGGGGATCCTGGTCATCATAAGACCAGTCCCACAGGGCCTGCATATGAAGCATATCAGCTGCTTCCACTAAGGTGCTCCAGTTTACATTTACAGAAGAATGAGAGATCTCCCTTCTCAGAGTAAACATACCTGACAGTAGTATTTATCCAGTCCATCAGGAGACTGCTCCCTCAGGAATAAATCAGTGTGTGTGTGTATCATGTATACTATCTGCAGTATGAGCTGAAACTCCCTGTGATTGTTTGAGTTTACAATGGGTCCAGTATCAACCCAAACATGCTCTTCCACTCTGCAGCATTCCAAGCCAAAACTACTCCTAATTTAGTCATTTTCACAATCTATTTAAGTAAAGGTTTTTCAAGTTGATGATACTGCTCCACAAAATGAGACAACCCCTTCTCACTGTACTCTTTGGCTTCAATAGCTTCTTGGTTTTGTCCTCCCCTCACATGGACTACTTTTTTGGTAACCAGAGAGGTCTTAGAGGTGCTCTCTGTTGTCCCAGCATATTTTTTTTTCCTTTATGGTGGCTGTGAGTCAAAGCACAGACCAATAAAGGACCAAGTTCTGATCTGACCCTCTTTTAAACAATTTTAAGGTGGGCTCAGTGGCTCAGCCTGTAATCCCACGCTTTGGGAGGCTGAGGTGAGTGGACTGCCTGAGCCTGCAGGTTCGAGACCTGCCTGGGCAACTTGGCGAGACCTCATCTCTACAATAAATAAAAAAATTAGCTGGGTGTGGTAGCGTGTGCCTGTAGTTCCAGCTACTTGGAAGGCTTGAGGTGGAAGAATTGCTGGAGCCCAGCAGGTTGAGGCTGTGGTGGCCGGGAGTGTGTCACTGCACTCTAGTCTGGACGACAGAGTGAGACTTCAACTCAAAAAACAAAAACAATTTGAACTATTTTGGATAATAATAAATACAAGTTTATATGTTTAGCACAATTATTTTGCATTTCCTTGCATATCTAAAGAGCTAACTCTTTAGAAGTTGAGTCAACAACCTGTTTTAAAACCCATTGGTAACTTTTGCCTTCAGCAAGTCATCACAGCAAGGCTACAGTTCATACTATGGGTTAGGTGGCTATGCAGGAACACAAGGTTTTTCATCCTCTTTCAAAATCAACTTTCCGAGTTAGGACACTTCTAGAAAATCTCACATTTTCTGACACCAAATATGTCTTTCCTACATCAATTCTGACATGAACTGGGTACCCTACAAATTTCATTAACTACCCAGTAGTACAGACCTCACAGGTTGACTCAGTCCCACACTGCCACATCAAATGCCACCCACAAATGAGGTTCCCAGGCTACACACTTCTACCAGGTGGACTATAAATTGTTTCCCAGACTGTTCCCTCCCACCCCAGGTTTGGTAATTTGCTAGAACTCACAGAACTCAAGAAAGTGCTATACTTACTATTAGTTTTTTATAAAATAAATAAACAGCCAGATGAAGATGAGGTCAGGAGGAATCCCAAGCTCAGGAGCCTCTGTCCTTGTAGAACTGGGATACAAAACTCCTTCTGATATATGACTATATGGGTTGAAAATAGAATTTCACTAGTCCAAAGCTTCCAACCCTGATGTTTAGTGGTTTTAAGTTCAGGTTTCATTACACAGACAAGAATGACTGAATCACTGTTCATTGGCAATTAAACTCACACTCTAGCCCCTTCCCTTCCCTGAAGGTTGGTGAGACAGTACTGTTCCCTCTGTGGCACCCAAAGTTAAGGCCCTCACAAAAACTGTTCACTCCTTCACACCAGCAGAACATAAGTGTATTTTCAACTCACCATATACAGTGAATAGATCTCTTAAGATTAAAGATTACTTCACCAAAATGAGGTCCAAACTTTACCTACACAATGACCATTTGTATACCTAACCCTGAACTGTACCCCACATCTTTAAAAAAAATTAAAAGATTACTTCAACAATAAAATCTTTTATTATTACACAAACCAGATAATATGAGGCCAGAAATAATTTGGAGGCTAGAAAATTCATAAACAATATTCACATAAGACCAACAATGCCAATAAAGGAGGCAACGCTTTACAAGCTACCAGGAGTACACAAACTGGGTCCTTTGGGCCAAAACTAGTCAGAAAAAAGTGAAGTAAAAAACACTAAAGGATCAGATTATATCCTCTAGGGAATGGAATAAAGAGTACAAACATTAGTCTTCTCTATGCATGCTGCAGTGACTGACGTACACTGTGTTGACCTGCCAGGTGGTAGAGGTGAGATGACTTCTCCTAAAAAATCTAGTAATGACAATTCTGGCAAGGGTCTTGGGCAGGTTAAAGTGCAGAATGCAACTCCTGAAAACTTCTCACATACCTGCAACTCACTGGGAGTTCCCTCACTGTGGATGTTTAGATACATAAAGTTAAACTTCAGGTAGATGACTCCTTCATAATGGCTTTCTAGTGCTGTTACATTGAACAAAAAGACAGCATATCCCCTATAAGGCCATTATATTGTGTGAAATTTCTAGTGCTGAACAAGGTTAGATTTTTGGCTAAAGGTTTTCTTTCACACATTCACTGAATTCACAAAACTATCAGGTTTGTCAAGTTTTTGATTCTGAATCAGAGTAGACTATTAACTGAATTGGTCACACTCATGACACCTGTTATCTGGTGTGAAGTTTATGGTGTTGAATGAGGCTGTAGTTTTGGCTAAAGCATTTCCCACATTCACTGCATTCATAAGGTCTTTCTCCAGTGTGAACCCTCTGATGTAGAATAAGGCTGAAGCTTTGGCTAAAGCATTTCCCACATTCGTTGCACTCATAAGGTCTTGCTCCTGTGTGAACTCTTTGGTGCTGAATGAGGCTGGAGCTTTGTCTAAAAGATTTCCCACATTCCCCACACTTATAAGGTCTTTCTCCAGTGTGAACTCTCTGGTGTTGAATGAGGATAGAACTTTGGCTAAAGGATTTTCCACATTCACTACATTTGTAAGGCCTTGACCCAGTATGAATTCTCCGGTGTTGAACAAGGCTGGAGCTTTGTCTAAAGAATTTCCCACATTCAGCACATTCATAAGGCCTTGCTCCAGTATGAATTCTCTGGTGCCGAACAAGTTTGGATTTGCACCCAAAAGCTTTCCCACACTCGGTACACTCATAAGGCCTTTCTCCAGTGTGAATACGCTGGTGCTGAACAAGTTTATATTTGAACCTGAAGGCCTTTCCACATTCACTGCATTCAAAAGGCCTTTCTCCAGTGTGGACTGTCTTGTGTTGAATAAATGTATGCTTATAACTGAAGGTTTTCCCACATTCACTGCACTCATATAGCCCTTCCCCAGTGTGGATGCTCTGGTGCTGAACAAGTGTACGCTTGCGGCGAAAAGCTTTCCCGCATTCACATTTGTGACTTTTTCCACTCTGCAAGTCCTCCTTACTCTCAATAACACTGTGTGGCTTCACTCCGTTGGGAACGGCCTGGTGCTGAAGAAAGTCCACATTGGCCAAGAAGTTGTTCCCAACCTCCTCACAGGCGAAGGGCTTCCCTGATGCATGAATATAGCTCTTCACTAAAAAGGCCCTGTCCATGTCCTTGCTACAAGGTTTCTCTCCACTGTGCTTTTTCTGGTGTTGGTGAAGGTTTGTTCTGAAACAGAATTGTTTCCCACATGTGTACAATTTCTGCCTACTATATGTTGTTCCTTGGTGCTCAGTCAGGTATAAAATATCTTCCATGATAGGGACACACATCTCACAGAGATGAGCCTTCTGGGTTGATAGATCTGTCTTTGGAATCCTGATTTGTGACATTCTTTCCACAAAACCACATTGCTCAGCAGATACCTCCTCATTGCCCATGCCACACCAACAACCTGAAAGCAGAGAAATGCTGGTGAGGTACATGCTTTCTTTGGGGGAAAGAGGCAGCCATAGCACAAATGTGTCTGACAGAATCAGTACATGAAATTATTTTCAGAATGGAGCTGAAATCAGGTTGAGAAAGGGGATGCTTTGTAGTACTAAGACTCTAAAGGTCACAGAAGTCAGGAGGCCTCACAAGATAAAGGACATAAGGAGTTAGTAAAACATAGATGAGGAGAGGCAGAAAGAGTTTCCAACTTACTGCTCTGCGAATGACCTTCAGCAGGGCCTTAGTTGCTGGTGACATGTGAATACTGTGAATAAGTTTTTGTCCAGGAACAGAAAATTCCAATTGCAAATGAGCAGCTGATATTCAAGGATTACTTACAGATATGTGAGTACCATCCAACACTTAATGCGTGGGCCAATGTTGGAGATCACTGCAGAGGTGGCAGTGGAGAGAACAGGTGAAAGGCAGAGGCAGAAAGATGGCAGGAAGGCCAGGGGTCAGAAGTCAGAATAAATATGACAGTTTGGCAAAGTATCGAGAATGGGGAAGAAAAGCAGAAATGGCATTGGCATCAAAACACTGGGGTGAACAGGTTCCTACAAGATGTGAACATGGCCCTGATGTCATGCCCTCCCCCAGCTACCATTCAGCAGGGCCAGGCCCTCTTATCATGCCTAGAGTCATGTCCATCCTGTGATGCTCAACCCCCAGTTGAGCAATTATCATGGATCTTGAATAACCTAAGTCCTGAAGGAAAGACAGGGCAGGTTAAATGGCCAACACTGGCTCAGAACAACTTATCACATGGCAGACCACAGAAAAGAAAACTAAATGTTACAAAAAAAGAACCTCAGATGAGGGTCTCACAAGAATGCTCTTGGTGCACGTAAGAAGCACCCATATTAGTGACTGCGATTCTAGCATAGGCAGGCAGGAAGAACTGTGAGCTAGAAAAAAGGAGCAAAACCCGAGATACAGAGATGCCATGAATTTGGACACAGCCACCCAGTCAGGAAAAGGGCAAGTGCAAGAATACTGACCCCCCAAATCCTTCCCTACGAGGCTTCAGAGCAGGAGAACTGAAAAGAAGAGGGCAGTACAAACTCCGCCCTGTCACCAACAGCACCTGTCTGGGGAACTGAGAAAGAAAGCAGTATCCACAGCCCAGATGTGAGTACAGAGCAGCCCCTGGGGAAGAAAAGAAAGATAAAGTCAAGCCCAGGGCACTGCGGTGAGTATGATGGCCTTACCCAGTGAGGATATAAGTGCAAAGTTCTCCAGCATCACATTGTGGTACAGGTGTCTCTGAGACTCATCAAGAAGACCCCATTCCTCCCAGGAGAAGTACATGGCCACGTCCTCAAAGGTTACATTGCCCTGTCATGATGGGGACAGATGAAACCACATCCTTTCTTCCAAGGACCCACAATCTATCTCCCCACACATGTACCCTATACCCATCCTCCTCTCAAGTTCTCAACCTCAGAGAAGATACCACACCCTGATGCCACTGGTGCTGCTCTCATGGTTCCATTAATCCCTGTGACTAGTCCACAGCAACTACAGGCAGATAGATTACATATAAGCTTAGGAATTGTACTTCAGGGTCTCACTCCTTCCTACTAGGGGAGTTCCCTGAGGTCCTTTCCATCATCGCTCATAACACAATAAAATGTGGGTCATTCATCATCCTCAGCCCCCACTACTGGGACTCTGGAGCCATCAGTCCACACTCTTCCACATGCACATTATTCTTTAGACTGCACTTTTTTCACATCTCTGGACCTCATAGATGTACTCCAACAGTTCCACCACCTTCTGCCCCATGCCATAGTAACCTCCCTAGACTCATCCCATGTTACTCAGCACAAGGCATCCAGAGAGGTCTTGGCAAATTCAAACAGAGTCCAGTATTACTCAAGACCTCCTATGGATCCCAACACCAGGGGCAGTCTCCAATGTTGCTTTGAAGGCCTCCTTGCTTGTCTTGGATCCTTGTTTCAACATTAGCCACCCAGAACCATGTGAGTTTCAGACACTCTTCCCTTTTCTGCTTCTGTAGTGCACTTGCTGTCCCCTCAACAGACACACTCCTCTCTCTGCTAAATCCTCATTAAAAGCTGAGCCCATTAGTCTCTGTGCCAGACATAATGACTCTCACAGATGACCACATTTGCCCTGACCTTATCCACCAGCAAGAATGAAACACCCTAGATACCACCAAAGTTGACCACAAAAGTCTAGTAAATCTATGGAGTGGCGAATAAGCAGCAGCCCTGCCTCAGAATCATCTTGTCTCAATTACTTCTATGTCTTTTTATTTATCTCATCTCTACTTTTCCTTTGGAAGTCCTCCCACCTGCTAGACCATCCTCCCCACACACAGTACCTTCATCGTTACTTCTCTCCCACAAATATGTCTGTGGTGCCTACCATCACCAACCAGGTGCCCAAGCAAGAGACTTAATCCGTGGTTCTCATCTCCTTTCTGGTCTGCTAATAGCACCACCACAACGACCTCTTACATGTGATCCATAGCTCCACCCAAGTTCACACAGTAGCTACCACTTGTGAATAACTCCATCCTGACCCCCTCCCTAGTAGTCCAGACCAGTATGCTCAGCTGTCCACTTGATACCACCACACTTTTGTTCTCTGAAATATGTAAGACTATTAACATGGCAAAAACAAAACTGATATTTCCAGTAAAAATCACTCCTACTACTAACTGTCCCATCTCATTGATGGAGCATCCATCACTCTAGCTGCTAAGACTAAAACTTTTTGTCATTCCTCGCTCCTAGCTTTCTGTCATCTTCAAAATCAGAAAATTCAGGCAGCCATTCTTAAAAAACAAGAATCAAGAATCTAATCTCTCACCTCCATGGTCACCACATTGCTTCACATTATCAAGTCACCTGGATTATGCAGAAACCTCCTCCCTGGTCATCTTTTCTCCTCCCTCACCCCCAAAGTCTGTTCTCCACTCTGCAGCCAGGTGGTACCTGTTTGGACCTAAGTAAGTTCGTCTCTTGTCTCTGACCCAAACCTCTCATTACTCCATAACAGATGTCCAACTTCTCAGGTAGCCACAGTTCAGGAATGAGTCCCAACCCCTGCTCTCTGTAAGAGAAAGAATGGAGACCTACTGTGCCCTATTCCCAGCTCAGTCACACCTCCATGCTTTTCCCATTCCTGGGATAATCTTCCATGTCTCTTCCCATTGGTGGCCAGAAATGGAAACCCCTCCATATAACTCTCAGCGTGGACTCAGGACACGTCGAGGGGATTTTTCCCTGGACTTGGATTCACAATTTCTTCTAGGCTCCCAACCCCAAAGGCAGGGAGAATGCAGGCAAAGAATTCCAGGACACCACAATCCCTGGGATCATATGGGTGGGGCTGGAACCAGTAAGGGCCTAGAAGACCCTCCAGATCCCTGTATATATTCCATAAGTGCCCCTTCAGCCATGGGGACCTGAGGTCAGTGGCAGGCCACAGAGGCTGGGGACCATGATGTTTCAATGGACTCAAATCTCCCCTGCACCTCTGGCCAGTTCTAGAAGCCAGATGACCTTGGAATGAAGGACTACTTTCTGCGCTTAGGTACTCAGTGCTGCCTCTTCATAGCTCTGTGCCTTGGCTCAAGACTCAAACTTACTGTCCCTCACTGCCCTCATCACCCCCATTCCAATCTGTTCTCCGTCTCAGTAGCCCTTGAAAAACTTTCAAAACGCTAAGTCAGATCGAGTCTCTTCAGCTCACAACCCCCTGTGGCTCCCAAGGTTCCCTGAGTGCAGGTACACGTTCACAGCCTGACTGACCGCGCATGACTCCGCCTCACTCTGTTTCCCGCGGACACAGAACGGCCCTCAGAAATCTCCAACATTCCTGCCTCAGCCGCACCTCCAAGCCCTCGCACGTGCCGGTCCCCCTGCCTGTCTCACCGTCTTACACTTCGTGGAGCACACTGAATGTCAGAAATGGGACTCCACCCACGCGAGTCTCACGGTCCCGGACACACGGGGCTGGGCTGCAGGGACGTGAGCAGGCGCCCGTCACCCGGGTTTTGGGACCTGGGCGAGGGAGGCCCGGGGAGCGCAGCACTGACCCGACCAGAGTCCCTCGGCGCGGCCGCCGCCATCGGACTCTGGGCGGGGCGGAGTGAATCCGGGCACTGGGCTCCCGTTCGCCGAACGTCAGACCCGCCTCTGTGCCGCGGGGACGACGAGTCCTGTTGCGCCGTTCCTGTCCTGGCACTGCGATTTCGACTGAGAGCCGCGGAGCCAGAGCACACCCAGTCCCGACCGAGAGGACTGCTGCGGAGAGGGCTCCAGAAGTCCCGCCCAACGCGATGGGCACGCACGGAAATGCTCTGCTTCTGAATCCTCATTGGCTCAGCACCGCCGCCCCTCAACGCAGAGGCCTCTGGGTAATATAGTTCCCAGAGGGCTCTGAAGGCCTCAGCAGAGAGGGTCCCTCACTCGAACGCTCCCGAGCTGTTACAGGCCCAGAGCGACGCTGGGGGCTCTGGAAGACGGTGTCTCCCACTGGGTTGGCGAAAGGAGCTCTCGACTTTCTTTTTTTTTTAGTCGGAGTCTCACTCTGACGCCCAGGCTGGAGTGCAGTGGCACTCACGGCTACCCCAGCGTCAACCTGCTGGGCTCCGGCGATCTTTACGCTTCAGCCTTCCAGGAGCCGGAACCACAGGCGTGCCACTACCACGCCCTAATTTTTTGATTTATTGTAGAGATGAGGTCTCGCCAAGTTGCCGGGGCTGGTCTTGAAACCGCGGGCTCAGGCAATCCTCTCGCCTCCGCCTCCCAAAGTGCTGGGATTACAGGCTGAGCCACCGAGCCGGCCGCCTCTCGACTTCTTAAAGGGTCTGTGCACAGATTTATTATAAAAACATTATTTCGGAGTCCATGAAGATCAGCGTGCTCCCAGAGTCTTAAAATATTATTTCAACTGCCCTTGAAGACTACAGATCCAAATGGACGGATTTCATGAGGTCATTCGGGCATGAAGTATGTACATGTTTAGCCGGAAACGAATAAACATTGTTTTAATCTTCTTCACATGTGTGAAGCATTAGTCTCTGTTTGTTTTTGTCACGTATTTATTATAGAGTTGTGGGGTACAAGTGAGGATTTTGTGTGAGTTGCAGTATATTTAGTCAGGAACAAGAGAAAAAGAGTCCAGACAGGGCCATGAGGTGAAGATGGAAGAACGTTGGCCTCCCTTGTTGCAGGTGGGCAAGAGTGGAGCTCTGCCTCTAACTCCCACAGAATGTCATTCCTGCCTGACTATTCAGTGAGTAGGTCCCACCCAGCGAGGAACACTTTTTTATCCGTACACTATTTCTCTGTATGCTAAGATATTATTCAATTCCTTTCAGGAAATTGACATCTGTCTCAAATGGAGGGCAACTTATTAAATATTATTTTGGAATGGGATAGTGGCTGCAGAGTTCACAATTGACACATGTGTGCAAAAGGGCATCTGAGCCCCCATATTAAAGGGGTATCAATATCCCAAGATAAACGATAGGTAACTGAACTCCATAATCTCATTGACTAACTAGCAAGTAATGATCACTTCTATTATTATAAAGACAGTTCTGCATAGAGAATTCAGATTATCTTAGAAAAACAGTTGTAAAATCAAAATTACAGAAAATTATTAATGATTACGAAAAAAATTTAAAAAGAAAGAATAATGATTATGTAGTTTTTGTTTTTCTGAGCCAGGGTCACACTCTGTCACCTAGGCTGGAGTGCAGTGGCTCCTTCACGGCTCACTCACCATAGCCTCGGCCTCCCGGACCCAAGTAATCCTTTCACCTCAGCCTCCCAAGTAACTGGGACTACAGGCGCATGCCACCATGCCCAGCTCATTTTTAAATTTTTTTGTAGAGACAAGGTCTCACTATGTTGTCCAGGCTGGTCTTGAACTCCAGGGTTCAAGCATTCCTCCTGCTTTAACCTCCCAATATGCTGAGATTACAGGTGTTAGCTACCACGCTCAGCCAATGATTATATAGTTATTGAAAGAAGTAACAGAAATAGCTCTGAGGAAAATTAGTGAAGTATGAAAAAATTTAATATCTTGGAGAAATTTGAGAAGACACTGAAGTCTGAGAAGAGCTAAAATCCAGCTGAGTATGTGACTTTGCTAGAATCTTGATCACAATTCCTAGTTATTACTGCTCCCTAGCACCTGCAATTTTTTAAATCACTTTTTAATTTAACAATATTTCTCTTTCCGTAAATAGTACATGAAGTTTAACCTTTTTTGCATCGGCCCCTGATATTTACTGTAGACATAATTTTACTGAAATAGTAAAGGTAGTCCTGAACCCACAAACAAAAGAGAAAAAAAGAGGTTTTCAGTCTTCCTGACTTTTGTGTAGATATATACTATTAATATTATAGATACCCAAAGCACAATATGGTTTCTAAGATAAAACAAACATACTTACTATTATGATTATAGATTGTCATCAGACAACAGGTGTAACTCAGTAGTTAAGCGTTGGGCATGTTCTTATACATCTTAAAGAGGGTGAAGATTTTGAGTTCAGTCTTCTTACTCAGAAAAAATACTTCAGATAAAGATCTGGACCACCGTGAGGTCAACTCCTTGCTGAGAAGTTACACTTCACCTGTAATTGAAATGGCCACATCCACATAGGGACTTGAGATTATTCAAGGAAAAAAAAGTCAAAATGTTTACATTACTAAGAGCTACTAGTGGTGACTAAGTTTTTTATGCAGAGAGAGATGAGGCAGAAACTAGAGGAAGGCATATTTGTAATATATAAAGAGACCAGGTGAAAATGACAGGTGAAGCTGAGCACCAAGTCAAGTTATGTTTCTGGCCCACCTGCAGGTATTGTCTCCCAACTATAATTAGGTTTTATTTGGGCAAATCTGCATAATAACAATCTCAAAGGAAGAGCAAAAGAAAGATAGAAAATGGTGTTTTGGGGATCAATACTTGCAGAAAAATTTTTAAAAAGAAAAGAAAATAAGAAAGAATTTCCAGAGCATTAGAAATGAATCTAGAAAAAGTCAAGAGAACTTTATTCACTGTTTTAATGAACACAAATGTTTTGTCTGTTTTTTGAGGCCGACTCTATTGCCCAGGCTGGAGTGCAATGACACCATGACAGCTCACCACAGCCTTGACCTCCTGGGTTCAGGCAGTCCTTCCAACTCAGCCTTGCGAGTAGCTGAGACTACAGGCATGTACCACCATGCTCTACTATTTTTTTTTTTGGAGGTAAATTCTCAGTGTGTTGCCTTGGCTGGTCTTGAACTCCTAGGCCTAAACAATCCTCCCACTTTAGCCTCCCAAAGTGCTGGATTACAGGTGTAAACCACTACAACTGGCCAATAAACACATGCAAAATATCTAATGTATGTCATCCATTATCCTCTGGATATGAAGTATATCACAGAACAAAATGGCAACAAACCAATTAAGAGCATGAGTAGTGCAGGGAAAGGGGTGGCATGAGATGTGAAGTAGGGTAATAAGGGGAGGTCTTTTTGATAAGTGGCTAATTGAGGTAAGACATGAAAATAGACTAGGGAGAGAGTCGTGTGTGTATCTGGGGGTATACAACCAAAGCAGAGGGAACAGGCAGTGCCATGTTCCAGCAATGCCAGACTGCCAGGGCACGTGGAACCAGGAAAATGAGAAGGAGCATATAAAAAATAAGTTAGATTCCTTTTTTTTTACAGAAACATAAAAGCAAAAATGTAAAGTAAATAAAACATAAACATAAATATAAAATAATTTAGAAAAGAAAAAAAGGTAGAGTGGCTACATGGGGCCAAGTCCTATGAGGCTTTATAGGACATTGTAAGGTTTTTGGCTATTCTCAGGAAAATTGAGAGATATTGCAGGGTTTTACCACAAGAGTGTCAATTTCTGGTTCATACATTGAAAGAATCATGTTGGCTGGTAAGTTGAGAATTGACTTCAGAAAAATAAAGGTAGGAGCAGGCAGACCAGTTAGATGACCATTACAGAAATCTGGGTAAAAGAGGATAGTGACTTTTATCAGACTTGTGGTATATATGCTGATGAAAAACAGTAAGATTCTTGATAAATCTAGAAGATGGAGCCAGCAAGAATGTTTGTAGAATGAGATGTGGGTGTGAGGAAAATACTGACCTCGGGATTTTGGCCTTAGCAACCGGAAAGATATAGTTGCAATTAATTGAGATGGGAAGAAGAGGGGCACAGCAGAGTTAGAAGATAGCTTGGGAATAAAGTTTGAACATGCTAACTGTAACATCTAGTAGACCTCCAAGACTAGGTCCCATGTAGACTATTGACAGATGACTGTAGAGTTGAAGAGAGGACTGGAAAGGAGACATAAATTTGCAAGTTTTTGGCATTGTGTTTACCAACATAATACTGGATTAGATCACAATAGGATGGAAAATTGAGGAGTAATGATTGCGCTCTTGAGCATTTTCATATTAAGGAATTGGGAAAAGGGAAGAAAACCAATTCGCAGTAAAAATATTAAAATGTGTCAATTGAATCAGTTACCGAGAGGAATTTTATGTAAAATCTTAGATCTCATCCTTGGGTTTAGGAGTTTTTTTCATGTTATTAAAGTTGTAAAGACAAAAACTCAGATTACAAGTCTCAGTATGGTGACTCATGGCTGTAATCCCTGCACTTTGGGAGGCCAAGGTGGAAGGACTGCTTGAGCCCAAGAGTTCAAGACCAGTTGAGGCAACATAGTGAGACTTCATCTCTACAAAAAATTTAAAAATAAAAAAATGAGCTAGGTGTGGTGGCATGTGCCTGTAGTCCCAGCTACTGAGACTGAGGTGGGAAAATCAATCTAGTCCACGAGTTTGAGGCTACAGTGAACCATGATCATGCCACTACACTCTAGTCTGGGCAATAGAATGAGACCCCAACCCTTCCTCCCAAAAAACTAACATTTCAATAAATCAACTATATAGCAGTGTTAATAAATAGTGTTAAAATAAAGAACTCTGAACACTACAACACACACAGTGTGAGGGCAGCAGGAAGTATCTGGACAAGGTTGACACCACTTACCTACATGGACCTAAATCCACCTATTGACATGATTCTTTAAGCAACAGAGAGAAACAACGTTGATGCAACTGTATAAATTGGACTTATTTGGTGTTTTTAAGAGGTCAGTTAAACTA